ATTTATTTATTTATTTTTTTAGTTGGAGTCTCACTCTGTCGCCCAGACTGGAGTGCAGTGGCTGTTCCCAGCCACCACAGCCTCGCCTGCTGGGCTCCAGCGATCCTTCCACCTCAGCCTTCCGAGTAGCCGGAATTACAGGCATGCACTACCATGCCTGGCTGATTTTTTGATTTATTGTAGAGATGAGGTCTCACTGCCCAGGCGGGTCTCGAACCCGCGGGCTCAGGCAATCCACTCACCTCAGCCTCCCAAAGGCGCGGGATTACAGGCTGAGCCACCGAGCCCGGCTTCTTTTATTTTTTTTTTTAAGTCAGAGTCCCGCTCTGTCGCCCAGGATGGAGTACAGTGGCTCACTCATGGCCACCCTAGCGTCCATCTGCTGGGCTCAGGCGATCCTTCCACCTCAGCCTTCCAAGTAGCTGTAACTACAGGCACGTGCTACCACACCCAGCTAATTTTTTGATGTATTGCAGAGACGAGGTCTCACCAAGTTGCCCAGGCTGGTCTCGAACCCCTGGGCTCAGGCAATCCTCTCTCCTCGGCCTCCCAAAGTGCTGGGATTACAGGCTTGAGCCAGTGCGCCTGGTCTGGGTCATTTCTTGATGGAGGTTGCACAGATGTTCACCTCCTAACATTTCATTAGGTTTCACATGTGTGTTTTATTCCACAGGAAATGAAGGGGAAAAGGAACATACCTCCGCTCTGAGCAGCTTAGGGCGTGGCCACGGATGAAGGCAGATGGTAATGCAAGGGCCGCTGTCAGGCAGCCTCAAGCGCCCACAAAGCTTCCTGAGGAGCCGAAGGGTCTGGAGGAGGCTGGGTGGGTGGGGTCTGCTCTGTGCCCATTGAATCTCCTGCCAGCAAGAGAATAGCTAGAAGATGGCGTGAAGATCACCACTTGCACACACTTCTGTGGTGGTCGTGGGGGAGCATTATCTGTCAAGCACCTTCAGAGGGCTACCGCCCTCTCCACTCACAAGGGCAGGAGCTCTTCCAGACTGCCCCCTCAGCTGACACTCTTTCCAGGTGGAAGGGATAGGATGTGCAGGCAGAGACAGGGCAGGATGTGACTCTCAGAGACTATAAGGGGTGCAGCAAGGGGATTGATGCTGCCAGATCACAGCCAGACAAAGAGGTTGTGACCCTTCCACCTCTTTCCCTCCTCTAAAGACATGTGATCTAGGCCATGCTCAGTGACTCAGCCTGTAATCCCAGCACTTTGGGAGGCCGAGGTGAATGGATTGCCTGAGCCTGCGGGTTCGAGAGCAGGCCAGGCAACTTGGCGAGACCTCGTCTCTACAATAAATAAAAAACAAGCCGGACGTGGTAGCGTGTGTCTGTAGTTCCGGCTACTTGGAAGGCTGAGGCAGAAGGATCGCCAGAGCCCAGTAGGTTGATGCTGGGGTGGCCGTGGGCGTGCGTGCCACTGCACTCCAGCCTGGGTGACAGAGACTCCAACTCAAAAAAAAAAAAAGCACGTGATCCATAATCCCTGTATGACCTTGGGGTCCTCTAGGTCGTCCTCCTCCTCCGGGGTTTGGATCACTCTCAAAAGCCTTTTCCCAGCTGGGCACAGTGGTTCATACCTATGATCCCAACACTTTGGGATGTGGAGGTGGGAGGATTGCTTGAGCCCAGGAGTTCAAGACCAGCCTGGGCAATAAAGCGAGACCCATCCTACAAAAAAAATAGAAAAAATAGCCAGGCATGGTGGCACGTGCCTGTAGTCACAGCTACATGGGAGACTGAGGCAGGAGGATCGCTTGAGCCCAGGAGTTTGAGGCTGTGGTGAGCTGTGATAGTGTCACTGTACTCCAGCCTGGTGACAGAGGCTCTATTCCAAAAAAAAAAAAAAAAGCCTCTTCCCTTCTGAGCTCAGTCTGCCTGTCTGTAAATGGCCTCAGTAAGGTCCAGCCTTTGGAGCTGCAGTCTGAGCCCCGACCAGCTGGAGGCACTCCTCTGGAACCCAGAGTTGGTAGTAGGGACAGGAAACAACTCTGGACTTGTATGAAGTTTCTTCTGGTTCTAAAAACTTTTTTTTTTTAGTTGGAGTCTCACTTCACCACAGCCTCGACCTGCTGGGCTCAGGTGATCCTTCTGCCTCAGCCTCCCAAGTAGCTAGAACCACAGGCGTGCACCACCACACCCAGCTAAATTTTTTGATTTATTGAGGAGATGAGGTCTCGCCAAGTTGCCCAGGCTGGTCTCAAACCCCTGGGCTCAGGCGATTCTCTCACCTCCACCTCCCAAAGTGCTGGGATTACAGGCGTGAGCCACCGCACCTGGCTAAAAAACATCTTTTTTTTTTTGAGTTGGAGTCTCACTCTGTTGCCCAGGCTGGAGTGCAGTGGCCGGGACCACTGCAGCCTCGACCTGCTGGGCTCTGGTGATCCTTCCACCTCAGCCTTCCAAGTTGCTGGAACTACAGGCATGCGCTACCACGTCCGGCTAATTTTTTTTTTAATTTATTACAGAGATGAGGTCTCGCCAAGTTGCCCAGGCAGGTCTCAAACCCGTGGACTCAGGCAATTCACTCACCTCAGCCTCCCAAAGCGTGGATTACAGGCTGAGCCACCGAGCCCGGCTTAAAACATCTTTTTATAAAGCATAGGGGCTCACCACACTCCTTTGGATCAACTGTAGGAAAAGGAAACCGGTTTCACCCTTGGCTTAGAGAAGCTTCCCAAAGTGTCTGGGGCCCTTTTGCCAAGCCAAGAGCCAAACCTGTCTGAACTCACCGTGATGTAGGTAAGTCAGAGAGCACTCTTAGCCTCAGTTGCTCATTCTCCAAAACAAGGAAGCAGGACTGCCCCTAGGGCAGAGGCTAGGCCTCCTGTCGGCCTGCCCTCACAGACTGGCACAAGGAAGGCAAGGCAGAATGAGGCAGGGTAGTTTTAGTTCCCTTCCCCGCCGTGCTGTGGCCCCCTTGGCTGAGTAAGGGGAGGCAGGTGGAGCTGACTAGACGCCCCCACAATGACTATCAGACGCCCAGAGAGGTGGGGGGGCTAGGCAGGGGTCAGGGACTGGGCTCAGCACAGTGAAGGACAGATGGGGTCACACGCCAGTGAGTGGTAGAGCTGGGACTTGAACCCAGGCCTCTGAGCCTCGGTTCTCTCATCTATAAAATGGGACCAACAGTAGCTGCTTCTCCAAGCAAATTATGTCAGCTGTCCAGCTCAGCACCTCAAAGGCAGGAAGTGCTCTGTAAATGGTAACCCCAACCCCCACTCTTGTATGTGGACTAGGACATTCATGATAGGTCTCAGGGAGTAGTGGGAACCCCTGGATCCTCCTTCATGCTAGAGGATAAAAGTCGACCACTTCCTGACACACTCTTGCAACTGAGGCCCTGGGCCCAAGGCAGTTCATAAGGTGGGCGGCTGCCACAGGCCCAGTCTGGAAGGCAAGGCTGGGCCAGGCCCCAGACTGGGCTTTGGACAGCCGCAAGCCTCAGCTGTCCAGGTGGCAAGAATGACCCATCACCTGGCTCTGGGTTCTGGGACACTTTAGCTGCTGAGCCGGGTCCAGGTAGCTGTGTAAGTTGGATAAAAGCAAGAGCATCTGACAGCGCACCACCAGCTAGAAACCACCTCTCTGATCCAATCCCTCATTTTAACATTTTATAGGGAAGGAAACTGCAGCCACAGTGGGAAGTGGCGTGCAAGTTCAGGTCAAACAGGGCAAAGAATTCCGATCACAGATGGTTCAGAATAGAAGCTCCCTGTGCCCCAAACATGAGTGTGATACGCTAACCCACCTCCTGGGCAGGCAGAAGAAACCCCTGCCAAGATGGTCTTGGCCACCTGGTTCCTGGAAGCAGCTGACTGCTTTCATCAGCAGGGTCTGGAACTCCGCTGGGCTCTCCAGCCTTCCGCATCCACTAACCCGTCTCCTCATCCCTCTCCAGCAAACCACAAGCCCCCAGAATATACCCTAGGGATGGGGACCAAACAAAGGACCCTCTCCCGAAGATAGTCAGTCACTGACTGGTGGGCACAAGTGCTGTTTTCAGTTTGGATTTCCCTAATATAAAGTGCAGGGAAAGCCAGGCTCAGTGGCTCAGCCCGTAATCCCAGCGCTTTGGGAGGCTGAGGTGAGTGGATTGCCTGAGCCCATGGGTTCTCTACAATAAATCAAAAAATCAGCCAGGCATGGTAGCGCATGCCTGTAATTCTGGTTACACAGAAGGCTGAGGCGGAAGGATCACCGGAACCCAGCAGGTTGAGGCTGCAGTGGCCAGGAGCAGGCACTGCACTCCAGTCTGGGTGACAGAGTGAGACTCCAACTCAAAAAAAAAAAAAATAAAGTGCAGGGAAAATAGAATAATCTCCTGGTCCCTGCCAGCCCCACCCCAACAGCTAAGTCTATTTTCTTGAAAAGTCCAGTCTGGAGGGCTCTGCTAGAAAGAGCGACCTGCTAGAACTCCATGGCAGAAAGTGAGGGGGCCAATCTGGGCTGGTATCACCCAAGGACTCAGGCATCTGGATCCCACCATCCCCACCCATCCTTGGCCTCTCAGGGTCTACTCTTCCTTCCCCATCATAGGTGTCATCCCCTGCAAGTCTTTCTGGAGTCCCTGGCTCCTGCACACTCAGCTGCCCCAGCCACTGCACAATGAGCTGTTCCTACACTGGGCTGTGAGCTTGGCCAGGCCAGGGGCCCACCCACAGAGCATGTGCAGCATACAGGAGGTGCTCAACAGCTGTGTGTTAATGCAGTAAATGAACCAACTGCAGATACAGGGCCTTTAGCTCTGCAAGCCCTTGTCCTAGACCTGACCTGTACAGCAGAACTGGTGCTTGGGTGCGTAGGCTCTAAGCCCGGACGGCCCAAGTTTGGGTCCTGATCTGTTACTCAGCGACCTGTGTGATGGAAGACAAAACAAACACCACCTCTTAGGGTTCCTGTGAACTGCTGTGGTCACCATGTGGATATCAGTGTGGGCACCCAGTAGAGCCAGTCATTCCCTCCTTCCCAATCAAGCCCAGCCACCAAGACAAAGGTTATCTCTGCTTTATTGGGAGGCAACAGCCCCTACCGGAGCCTGTGTCTTAGCGTTCCTGTGGGGTACTAGGGCCAGCCCCAGCCCCTACCCGACTGCCCCTGCCCTGCTGGCTCCCAGCCTCTTGCAGGGTGGGCGTGCTTGGGGGACCAGACTTCCTGTCCTCGAAGCTTAGGCAGGGCTCGTCCTAGGGTCCTGGGTGTTGGACAGGGCAAGGCCAGGGGGGGCAAGATAATCTACTTGTCCTCTGGACCCTGGAGCCTGTTGCAACCCTGGGACCCTGCCTGCTGGAAGAGACTGGCCGGATTTTGAAAGGTGTCCGCTGCAGATGCCCTGGGTCAAGCCCGGACCTCACTCCTGCTCATCCTCCATGCAGGCCAGTCTCCATCTGTGTGGCCTGGGGTTGTGGTCCCCGAGACTACTTCTGCCTATCAGCCACACGGGGCTGGCGTCACCTGGGCCCGGCGTAGCCGTAGGGGTGGCGCAGCAGCAGGCTCTGGTGGCTGGGCAGCACGTGGGTATGGTAGTGCTCCACCATGCTACCCACGCTCACAAACAGGACCTCGCCCTCTAAGTAGAACTTAGAGTCCTGTGGAGGAAAGCAGGGGTCAAGGTCAGTGGAGCCAGGCTATTTTGCGGCTCAGAGCCGCAGTCTTCCCGTTTGTAATATGGGTCGGTCAGCAGCAACAATAACGAAGCCAGGCCTGCTCCCAGCCACCCTGTATTACCTCTGTGTCTGCCTCCACATCCAGTCTGTGCTCTCCAAGATCCCACCTCACCTCCCCCTCCCATCTCCAAGCGTCTGACATGGAGCCTTCCCCCAGGGGACAGCAGGCAAAGTCCATAAGTAAACCCAGAGTCTGTAGCCGGCCACCCACCTCCTCTAGGGTCAGCTGAGAACAAAGCCAGGCAAGGAAAGAGGGAGGTTGAGGCAGAAGGGGCTCAGGGGATGGGAGAAGGGTGGAGGAAGAGTAGGGGAGAGTGGCATCAGCCCACTTGCCGCCTATGCCCCATCAGGGAGATCAGGGCCAGGATCCTGTCCCACCCAGAAGCCTCAAACCAAGGCCCAGGCCTCTCACCTTCTCAAAGATGCGGTAATTCCTCACTTTGTTGGAGGATTCATCCCACACGACCAGAACCTACAGAGAAGGAAGCAAGAAGCTGATGTTTCAGCTGGAGCAGTGGGACCAAGCTGGGGAGAGATCAACCTCGGGAGAGACAAAGGAGGGTAGGCCGAAGCATCAGGCTGGGTCTTGCAGCCCTCGGGTGAGGTGGGGAGGAGGAGGAGCTCCAGACCACCTGCCAGGGACAGCAGGGAAAAAACGGGCAGCCCCTCTCCTCTGGGGCTCCTCTATCCTAAGAGAGCCCCGATGAGCCTTAAACAACAGTAACAGGTACCTGGTGCCCCTCTGACCTCTGTGACACACTTGAGAAAGTACAGCTCAGTGCAGTCACGCACTGCACACGTGAAGGGACACAGGCAAAACTGACAGACCCCATGCCACTCCCACTGCCCCACATGCCCCCAGTGCATGGACTCTACCCCCAAGCCCTTCCATCCTTTCTCGTACCCTGTTGGGGGGCGGCCACCATGCCCCCAGTTTAGAGATGGTATTTAGAGAATAGGTGGGAGGTGTTGCTGGGCAAAGAATTTGGCTGAGATGACAAGCAAGAGTCTGCATGAAATGATTTATAAACTGTAAAGTCCTGGGCCTTCCCAGGGTGGAGAACCAGAGGGTCCCGTCATGGCACCAGCAGGGCCCACCAGGGTATTCTCCTGGGCACCTACCTTCCCTGACTTGGTGGAAGAGTTCCGAATGCAGTAGAGTCCATCCTGGGGCTCGCCCCGGGGGCTCGTGGCTTTGAACAGCCTAAAATGAGACAGCCGTGTTGATAGGAAAGGTCTCCTCAAGCAGCTTCCCTGGGGACCCTCCAGCCTCACCCACAAGTTGGCTCTGTCTTCAGGTGTTGAGTGATAGGCTGCCAGAGGCCAGGAGAGGCAACCCACAAAGCCCTGACCAGGCTGGGGTGATGGCTCGGAGCAGGACAGAGCTCACTGGTTCCCTCTTCTCTGGTTTCCCTGCACTCAGGGCCCTGGATTCATGCCAGTGGCTGCCCAACACCAAGGCAAGCAAGGGGACTGAGTGAGGAAGTTGGGGTGCCAGGTGGGATCCAGCTTTGTACTGACCTTTCCACTTCGCAGGATTCTGTGGTGTTGACGAAGACCGAGCTGGGCAGCGGCACCTGTCAGAGGCCAACGGTGTCAGCGCTGAGGTCAGAGTGACCCAACCACACCCTACTCCCCCAATGGCTGCCACCCTGCTCCAGGATCCAGGGCTTTGTACATGCTCTGTCCCCCTCAGCTCCAGGGTTCTGGAAGCTCTTTACTCAGGATGGCCAGTAAGAGGCCGCCCTGTAGTAGAGCCATCTCACCACCTGGCTGCCCACTGGCCAGCTGCGACAAGGAACGCCACTCAGCCTTGCCTTCTCATAATCCTCGTCCGAGTCCTCCCCACCAGTGTCAGGCTGCGAGGGTTGCCGAGGCTTTTCAAAAGAGAAGCTCCTGAAACTCTGCCCATCGGGGGGCGATCGTCTGGGGAGGCAAGGAGAAAGTGAGACCACATCACTGCCAATGAGATATGTCAGCCTCTGGGTGATCATGTCAAGCTTCCTGCTACAGCCCACGTGACCATAAAAGGCCACAACAGAGCTGAGGCTGCGATGACTGCCTGGAGGGTAACAGGAATCACCTGGGGCCTGGACACCTGACTTGTGGTCAGAGCTGCCATGGACGCTGGGCGAGATGGGGGTCCTGGGGGCCTGAGCTCGGCGCCATCACACCATGTACCAGTGCTCTGGACATTCTTGGGGAAGGAGGGTCCAACCTTGGCCAAGTTGCATGCCTCTCAGAGCCACAGGGGAATAGGCACATGTGAATGGGATGAATAACTTGATCTGATCCCAAGGGTCACCCATGGGGAGAGCCCTGCACGCCTCATATGTGTGGCAAAGTGGTCCCGCTTGGCCAAACCTCCAGAGCTTCTGGTAAGATTAAGGGAGGCCACACATAGCACAGGAGCCGAGAGGCCATGCCAAGATGGGCCTTGGCCTGTGAGGCTGAGTCCTGGACCGTTACCCTGGCACACACAGGCACACACAGGCAGTGGTCATGGGAAAATGACTGACCAACGAGCACCTGCACCTCTGTGGCCCTTGTGAACTAGAACCACGATTATGGTAAGGGGTTCTCCCAGACACTTCCCCACAGGCAGCAGGGATCTCAGATATGCAAACCGAGCCCCAAGGAGAATGAAGCCTTGGACAAGGGCATTCTGGGCGTACAGGATTGAAACACCTACAAGAAACTCGCCCCTGTGGCTCCCAGACCTTCACCTACCAAGCAAGGCACGAAGCCCACCTTGGGTCCCAGATGCCTTTGACCATAACCACTGGTGCAGGCAGCTCTGTGGGAGTGAGGGACACACTGCTCTCCTGGCACCTCCCAGCAATACATCAGAAAAGATCCAGGCAGGCTTCAGGACTGAGTCATGGGCACACTCCACATGCCCGATCAGGAAGGGAACAAAGGGAATCACACACCAGGGCTGGGAAGGACATGCATTGGTGTTGGGTCCTGGGATAGAGGAACCTGCAGGGGCATGCTGGTACAGGGTGGCTCCCAGCCCGCACGCCCTTCCCCCACACTCCCCGTCTTAGGGTAGGCAGTCACCCTGCAGGCCCCTTGCAGACACCAGAGGGCCCTCACAGTACACAGCAGTGGCTCCAGGAGGCCTGCATCCCCAAGGCCACACTGGCCCCTGAGGTGGCCACGGGCTCCAGGCCCACTGCCCACTAAGCTGGACTTTCCTGAAGGGCCAGGTTGGATACCACCCACATCCCCAGGCCAGCCAGGTTCAGGGGCGGTTGCCATACCTGGGCAGGTTGGAGCTATCAGGGACCCTTCCCACCCTTGCACCTGGTACCCCCTCGTGGGCTCAGCATGCTGGGGCAAGGAGGGCAGGGTGCCAGGTGGAGGCCAGGCCAGGTCAGGGAGGGGTCCCCGTGGCTGGGAGTCAGGGTATGGACTGCACTTACTGGAGGTGGGGGAGCAGCGGCTTCTCTGGCCTGGGCAGGACAGCAGGCCGTGCTGTGGCCTCAGTCATGGGGAGCTTCAGTGCAGGAGGCCTAGGGGTCACCGGGGGCACAAAGAGTCCAGGTTTGGCTGCTTCCCTCAGGGGGATCTCTTCAGCTGTCTTCAGGAACTTGGGCTTGTTAGCTGGCACGGGTGGGGGCTCAGATGTGGGCGGCCCCCGGGGGGACAGGTGGAAGGACTTGAGTTTGTCACAGTTCCTGGAGGCGGCAGCAGCCATGGTGGCAGAGACGGAGGCAGAGCTGGCTGTGTGGCCGGGGGCCCGGGGTTCCGGGATGGGGCTGGTGCTTTCCCAGAAGCAAGGGGGTTTCCGAAGGCTCGAAGCAGTGGGCACACTGCTTGGAGGAGGGTCACTCATCCTTCGGGAGGTAGCAGGCGCCCTTGGACTAGGTTCAGCCCGCCTCAGGCCCAGCAGGTCCCTCTTGGAGTCTTCAGGAGCTGGGCTGGCATCTGGGAGACCGTGCTTAGGGGGCGGGGGAGGCAGCAGAGGGCTGGGGCCTTTGGAGGTGAAGGAGTGGGCTCGGGGCATGTCAGAGAAGGCTGGCTTCCTGGGTACGGGCACTGGGGGTGGTGGGTAGGCGGGTGGGAAGGTCAGGGCGTCTGCAGAGCAAAGAGATCCATGTTAGTATCACCCAAGGGAGGTTAGGCCAACACCACCCACTGCCCGGCCAACCAGGAATGCACACCATTACAGTCCCATTCCATGGCCTGCCACCCCTGCAGTCCTACACACAGCACCCATCCAACCAGACCACTCACTGCCCCCTCGCCTTCCCCATCTGTCCTCTACACGGCAAACCACACAAGCTTCCTGAAGCCCAGATGTTCTTGAAGCCCAGATGTCAACCTGAGGAGCCATCAGGTCCCCCGAGGTGGCAGGGAAGAGTCAAGGAGGATGCTCAAGGTTTGGCCTGATCAAGGGGAAGGACGGAATTCCCAAGGACAGCAGGAAGGGGAGGACAGGGGCAGTTGGGAGGCAGATGAAGGTCTGTGTTTGCTCATAACAAGTTCAAGATGCTGTGAGATGCCTAGGGGATGTCAGGGGACTTTCAGGACAGAGTGTAAAGTTGGGAGGTCCCAGCTGGACATGTGAGTTGGGGCTGGCCGTCCATGAATGACCCTGGCTCTCACTCTCAGAATGCAAGAGGGGAGTGAGGCCTGAGCCTGGGGCGTCCTTCGGTCTAGAGGATGGGCATCGCTTGAAAGACCCACACAGGGGCTGGGGGAGCAGGAGGGTCTAGGAGCATGAGACACGTGAGGAGGGGCAGGCAAAGGGCGGGGTAGGGGTCAGTCCAGGTGGCTCAGGTGCTGAGCACTGGATTTGGGAATGGGGAGGCCACTGCAGCCCTGGACAAGATAAGTTTTGGAGAGAGGGTGGGGAAAAAGCCAGACTGGAAGGGGGTGGAGAGGGAAGGGGGGACCAGGAGTATACAGGAGGGTCTACGGGCAGTGCTGGGGTCCTGGCCACTCCCCATGTGTATCGCTGGCCACCAAGGCTGGATGTGAAGCTAGAGAGCCTGCAGGTGAGAGAGCAGACATGGTGGACGCTGGCGTGATGAGTGCTCTGCATGGAGAGAAACTGAAGCAAGTGGCCCACAGGTCCTGCTGGACTGAAGGACGGTGAGTGATGGGGCCCTAGAGGGGGAAGTGACAGACAAGGAGGGGCTAGACGCAGAACCTGTAGTTGGGAGGAGACAGGTATCAGAGGGGACACAGTGGTGGGAGCTAAGGTGAGCAGAGGCCAGGTCAGAGAGAACAAGAATAGAGCGATCAGGGATTACTCCCAGACATGATGGAACCGATAAGAAGACTGGAGAGAGGATGGAGGAGGGGACAGAGGAGACAGGCATGCCCATCCCAACCTGGCCCAGGGCTTCCCTGTCACCCATGTGCCTATATCAACCCATCTCCCTGACTAGGCCATGTGCTGCAGGATGTGGGCGGCAGCCTGGCCTGCAGTGGTGTCCACAGTGAGCTGGCAGCCATGGGGACATGGACTTGCCCTGGACCCGTCCACTTCTCAATGCCCCTCCTTCCCCACTCAGTCCCCACGGCCCCCCTGGCTCCACCTGTCACTTATCTTCGTGTTCCCTCCCCTCCTTTCCCAGGTGGTAGGAGAAGCCGATGCGCAAAGCCAGCCAGGCCACAGAAGGGAAACTGAGGCCACCTACCACAGCACCTGGGCTGGCACCCCTGGCCTGGGAGGGGCTCTGCTCCCGGTTCCAGCCCCAACTCCCCGCCCACCTACCCTCAGGCTTCACAGGCTCAGGGGAGTCGGGCTCCATGTAAGAGTCATCCTCATCGTCGCGCTCATAGTCTGAGTGGAAGGCATGGAAGGTGAGACCCAAGGTGGCCCAGGCCCAGCTGCACGCAAGATGGGATAGCGGGGCCCAACCCAGTCTCAGAACAACACTCCAGTTAGGGTGGGGGCTGAAGAGACCAGGAGGCACGGTTGTGAGAACCCACTGGGCAGAATGTGAATCTAGAACCCAGCTGCTGGAGACTGCAGCCTGGGGAAGCCACCATCACTCTGCCAGGGGACAGAGCAAGGAGCACAGCTACACACACCTTCCAATCACTCATCCATGGTAGCCCAGGAGGAAGACTGGGTCCATCACCACCAGCAGCCAGGTGTGGGGAGGCAGAGGGGGTGGTGGAGGTGGAGAAAGGCCTTACCTTCATTGTCCATGGGCCATGGTGAGAGGCTGATATCTATAGGCCGTTCAACCGCACCATAGAAGCTGTCTGTGTCTGAGCTGGAGTCGCTGCAATGAAGGGTAGCAGGCAATGAGCACTAGACCTGGGAGGCCCCTTGTCACTCACACACGAACACACGTGGACACACATAGAGAGTACACAGGCATATAGACACACATATACAGAGGCACATAGACACAGAGACAGACACAGAGACACGCATGGACACACACAGACATATGAACAAAGATAGACAGACACACACACTCAAACCAACACACAGATGAGGACATACACACAGACACAAGGACATATATAGTATGCAGTTACACACAGACATGTAGATACACATATAAACACACAGAGATACAAGGATAAGCACACACATGTGCACACACAGACACAGACACACACAGAGTGACACATGGACATGTACACACACCTGGTTACAAAGACAGATACAGGGACCGGAGGCTATGGTATGACCACTGAGCACTCCTCTCTGTCTCTCTGTAGTTCTTGCCACAAGCATGGCCACCCTGACAGCTTCCACATCCCCACATGCTCCTGCCTGAACTCTGAGCTGGTCCTGCAGCAGGGCACTGGCTTGGACTGAGTGCCAGGGCTCGGGGTCAGACAGGGACCCACAGGGCAGCCTTGGGGTGCCATGTCTCTCTGGGAGTTTCTTTGTCTATGAAAGGATGAGACAGTTTGTTTCCATCCAAACTGTCAATGGGCAAGACAGTTCCGGCCCAGACTCCCTGCTGCTTGCAGAGCCATCTCACAGATGAGATGGCTGAGACAGGGTCGTCCAAGCCAGCTGCCTGGGAGATTCATCCTGGTCTCACCTCCGAGCAAGCCAGGGTAGGCACAGGGGCTGGGAACCTAAAGCTCTGGGCTGCTGCAAATGCTGGGCCTTCTGGGAGGGGGAGATAAGAAACATGTGTGACCCCCAAACAGGAACTACCCACGACCACGACACAGAAAAAAGATGTGGTGAGATGGGCTGGAGATGACAGTCAGGAACAGAGAGACTGGTTCACGCACACACACTTGCACATGTGGTGAGCACACACAAGCTTATTCGTGTGGTACACACATGTTCAGTCACACACATTACACAAATGCACGCTTACACGTGTGGTATACACACATACACATGCAGCCTGGCTGGCATCTCTAGAAAAATCTTTAAGGAAGGGATTCTGGGTTAAGCCTCAGGGGCTGGGAGATGGACACCCAGGTCAAGTTCAGGAGCCCCAGGGACCCCACCCTCCTGTCATGCCCCTGAGCCCACCTGGTGTCCAGGGACAGCTCCTTTTTCTCATGGAAGTGGCCGATCTCCCTGCGCAGCAAGGCCATCCAGCTCTGTGGGACAGCAGGGCCAAAGTGGGCATGTGCTGCCACCTTGCAGGGTCCCCATCCCTCCTCCCTCACTGCCCTGGCTGTTCTGCAGTGACCCCCCACAGTTGGGGAGATGACCCTGCCCAGGCCCAGTGCAAGCTGTGTGGCCCCGGCACGGCTGACCCTGTTGGGGCTGTGGCTGCCCTCAGCTCTGGGGCCCCTCTCAGGGCAGCATGTTCTGTGTGTGGGCACTGGTATGGAGCTCTGGGTGTAAGGAGGAGGCTGAGGGCAGCTGCCACATCTCCTTGGGGCCTGGACAGGGCCATGTCCACTCCCTGCCTGGGGCTGACGGGAACCAGAGCCCTGGGACCGAGAAGCCCCCCGAGGCTCCTGCCTGGTGCCTGCAGGCCTGTTCTCCTCTCCGCCATCACCTTGCGCTCATCCTCAGAGGAGGCTGAGAAGAACCACGTGCGGTGCTTCTTGCTGATGTGGACAATCTTGAAGGGGAAAACGTTGTTGGACGTCGTCTCCTCAGCTGCCCGCATTACCCTGAGGGCACAGCACTGGCGGTCACCACCTGGGCCACAGCCGCATGGATGGCTTCCTCACAGCCCCATTCCTGGATGGCTCTCAACAACACACCCCAAGGGCCATGGGCAGATCTGCATGGGCCTGGCCTGCAGACACTCTGGTGAAGAGCCTAATGCCCAGGCTGATGGAAGGAGGGGGTGGAGGCAGCATGGGCACAGGAGTGCTGGGAGCAACAGTGTGCAGGCAATGAGGACACCTCACCTCCATGCCCACCAGTGCCACCTTACAGATACCACCCTCCCACCTCTGGCCTAGGCCTGCCTGTTGGGGGCCCTTCTAAGGCCCTGCCAGGGCCTTCCCGGGGCTGTGTGTCAGGCCCGTTGAGGGCTCTCCCGGGGCTCCATGCTCCCATTGCCCAGGGCTGCTCTGTGTGCATTTCCAGGGTGACACACCTGGAGAGTGCACATTTTCCAGAAAGCACACCTGTGCTCTGTAGCCTACTGACATAGCCAGGATATGGGGTTTGCACAGCAAACACAAAGTTTAACATGGGAAGAGCCCTACCAGCCAGACACCTGGGCAGGTGTGCCTATCTGGCCCATCAGAGGGCCTGGCCAGAGCCCCTCAGGCCCAACTGGGTTAGACAATTCCCTGGGGCATGTTAGCACCTGCCACTGGGCCCATGGCTGACACACACCAGAGGCTGGAGGGCAGTAGATATGCCTGGTGACAGGGAATGATCCTCCCCGGGGACCCCAGAGCCCTGACTGACCAGTGCCTGTCTGCCACCCTCAGGGCCCTTGAGACTCTTGCCTTAGCTGGCCTGGGGGCCTGCCACAGGGCTGGGTGCTTCGATGAGGCTACCCTACCAAGGTTGTGGTCAGAGTGCAAGCTGGGACCTAGAGTTACTCCACAGGCCCTGGTGGTACAACTCCTGGAATCAGAGCCCAGGAATCAGCCTTAAACTCTGCTGTGTGGACCCTGGAGGCCTTGAGCTGTGCCAGCACACCCCATTTCACCCCGAGGGCTCTGGCCCATGACCTACCCACCCCTTATTCCAGAAGGCCTCAAGCTCAAGCTCACGTTCTCCCGTTGGTCAGAGCCCAGCCTGTGGCATGCGTGAAGCAGGAAACAGGCCCCCAGCCTGGGAGAACCCTGGAACAGGAAAACCTGGGGCAGGATCTGAGTTTAGGGCAGGGCCTGGGCTGGCCAGGTTCTTGGCTCCCTCAAAAGAGGCCATGGTGGATCAAGAGGTAGAACAGGGAGGAACAAGTGTCGTAAAAGTCACTGGGTGGTAGCTAAAAGGGAACTGGAGAGGATCCTGTCCAGGCCCTTGGGACCTGTGCATGCCACAGGAAGCCCCCAGGCTCACCCTCAGTCCTCAGCAAAGGTCTAAGGACAGAATATGAGGAGAGGGCAAGGCATCATGAAGGCTGGTGAGAGGAGTGGCAGAGGGTAGACATGGTCCAGAGCAGGCAGGGGACGAAGCCTGGACTTTCCTTAGTAAGAACACAGAGCAAGCCTAGCAGGAGCTCTGTGGGGGTGGGCCAGGAGAATCAGCCGGCCATGAGACCGAGGCAGCAGGCAGGAGGACACTCACCGGTTATAGCCACTCAGGGAGAAGGCGCCCTGCGGAGAGGCAGAGGTGCTGCTTTTGAAGTAGTAGATGCAGCGCTTGTGGATGATGACGAAACGCAGGGGCCCTGTAGGAGCGTGGCAAAGGCAGGAGAGTGAGGCGTGATGGGTCACTGGCAGACCCCGCCCTGGGGACCCTCCCAAAGGCCCTGGGCAACTTAGAGCCAGGCGTCCTGCCTCCGAGCCCTGCCAAGTGGGAGAACAGGGAGCTGGACTAGCATGCGGCCACTGCTCAGGAGGCGAGTTCAGGGCCAGGTGGATGGTCACACTAGAATGCCCCAAGCTCCACTGCGCCACCCTGGAGCAGCCCCTCTGTGGCGGCTCCATGTACAAAGAGGAGACCAGCCCATTGGGCATCTACCCAGAAACCAAACAGTCCAGCCTAGGATACCTCAACCGAGTGGCCCTGGATAGGGCATCTCTGGCAGTGAGCACTGCTAGGTCCAAGGCATACAGCACCTGCAGGTCAGGGCCTAATGCTCTTTGGCCTTCAGTGTCTTGATACGTGGGCATCTCCCAGGCCTGGGGGCTCCCTCTGTCTCCCAGCCTGCCATCCTGAGGACCAGAGGCCTGATCTTTCACAGTTCTGGTACTTAGGTGGGCTTGGGCAAAGGTTCAGTGGGGCCCAAGTGACCAACTCACTGAAGATTCATACATAAGGCAAGGGCAGCACTAGGGGGCCAGAGCTACCTGGTATCCAAGGTCCCCCAGCCCTAGCTGCAGGCTGCAGCTCCCTGGCCAACTGGTCAGCACTGTGTACCAAATGCTCATCCCATCTCTTTGCCCAGCTATACCACCTGGACCCTGCTACAGTCCTGGGGGTGGGGAAGCTGACCTCAAGTCTACTAGGGCTGCCAGCCACCAGAGAAGGAAGCGATACTCCAGAGGGTCCACCACGTGAAGAAGCAGAGGCTCGGAAAGGATGCTTGCTTGCCCAAGTAGGCCCAGTGAGGCAGTGGGGAAGCAGTGCCAGGGCCCAGCTCTGCCCCTATGTCCTCCCATTGTGCTCCCTGCCACTCAGGGGACTCACATTTAAGCAGCTGCAGCTGGGTACCGCCCTTCTTGTGCAGGTAACCAGCCTTGGCCACGCCTCCAGGCATGGTTAGCAGGTTCTGGGCACCAATGGCCTTCATAGGGACCGGCCAGTGCATCTCCTCAGCCTCCATGAAGCTGCGATAAAAGAGAAACGGACACAGCTCAGCCAGGGGTGGGGGACAAGAGATGGTTTAGCAGGAACACTAGGGGGGACACCACTAAGATCCAGGGGACAGCATGGAGGATAAGGCAATGAGGGGTGAGGAAATCCCTTTTTTTTTCCTTTTTCTTTTGAGTTGGAGTTTCACTGTGTTACCCAGACTGGAGTGCAGTAGCACACTCAAGACCACTGCAGCCTTGACCTGCTCGGCTCAGGTGATCCTTCCGTCTCAATCTTTCAAGCAGCTGGAACTACAGGCACACGCCACCATGCCCGGTTAATTTTTTTATTTATGTAGAGATGAGGTCTCACCAAGTTCCCCAGGCTGGTCTCAAACCTGTGGGCTCAGGCAATCCTCTCAGCTCAGCTGGGATTATAGGCATGAGCCACCATGTCCAGCCGGAAACCCCTTTTCTGAAGGCTCCGCTTCTGGGGGGAACCCTAGGGATCCCAAGAACTAAGTGTGTCCTCCCCCAGGGATCCCAAGAACTAAGTGTGTCCTCCCCCTAACCCTTTTTTTTTTTTTTTTTTTTAGTTGGAGCCTCACTCTGTTGCCCAGGCTAGAGTACAGTGGCATGCTCACGGCTACCACAGCCTCGACCTGCTGGGCTCAGGTGATCCTTCCACCTCAGCCTTCCAAGTAGCTGTAACTACAGGTGTGTACCATCACGCCTGGTTAATTTTTTCTTTTTTAATTGTAGAGACACGGTCTCTCCAAGTTACCCAGCTGGTCTTGAACCCCTGGGCTTAGGCAGTCCTCTCGCCTCAGCCTCCCAAAGTGCTGAGATTACAGGAGTGAGCCACTGTGCCCAGCTAAGTGTGTCCCTCCATCATCCTTGTTCATTCAGCCACACCCACTAAGCACAAAGCCCCATAGGAGCTGAGTGCAGAGAATAAACTCAGGAAAGCCCTAGCCCAGGTAAGCAAGGCCTTAGGCCCTAACTACTCTAAGTCCCGGGGCCAGGTGAGCCTATAATGGGCCCTGACCTAGACAGGAAGCAGGAAGGCAGGTAGACAACAACCTCAATTCCTGGGTCAATGACCTGGGCTCCCACCCAGGCTTGGCTTTCTGAGCAATCCCTTGGGTCTCAGCTGTTGGAGGATAGAGTGGATACAGCCCAGCACACAGAACACCCTTCTCGCCAGTGGCTGTGACAACCAATCGGTAGGTTGGATGGTATCCACCCCACCAACCTCAAGCATCACTCAGTTTCTCTGACTGAGCCCCAGTGGGAACCTCACAGTGCAGGGTCACTGAGGCACTGGTGACTGCCTTGGGGCTGACCTAGGACACAGGGCCCAACATCCCAGGCCCAGGCATGGGGCTCTGCTCCCTACTCCAGCCCCTTACTCCTGCTCCAGCTGCTTTCCTTGAAATCCACCAAGCTGTTTCACACTTCTGCCTCTGCCTGGAAGGACCTCCACCCCTTCCCACACAGAGAACTCCTACTCATCCTTCAAGACCCAGAGTAAGCATCCCCTCTTCTTCCAGGTACCCTAAGTGCCCAGTTACATCCAGGGTCTCCCCCACTCCTGGTCCTGCTGAACAGTACCCCTCACCCTGTACTGTTTATTCTGTTCCTGTCCCCATTCCACCCTGGGCCTGTCCCTCCTGGAGCCCTAGTGCAGTTGGATGGGAACAGGCATGTAGCCAGAGTCCCACTGATCCCATAGTGGAGCAGCTAGGGCCAGACCGCGAAGCCCAATCCTGCTGGGACCGGTTCCATTTCAGCTCCAACCCAAAAAACACACGCTCTCTTAGCACACCAGTACCCTCCAGCAAATGAGCAATCAGGAAGTCACCACCCCCCGAGGACCAGGTTGCCTTCTGCCGGTCTCTGCCTGGGTTCCACGGCCTCTTCCCTCCCCCCCCCCCCCCCCCCTCCCCCACAGCGGATCTATCAAGGCCA